AATCAGCCACCGCCAGCGCACGCGCCGCCGTGCGGATTCACTTCAAAGAGACGCCTAAGGAGGTGTGTCGGGTCCCATCAGTAGAAGCTTTGAAGATCAGAGGAGTGGTGGCCGGGTGCGAAGTGAAAAGGATGCTGGTGGACATAGGGAGCTCGATGGATGTGCTGTTCTGATCAACTTTTGAGAAGATGCAGCAGTCACCTAGTATCGTGAGACCGGCCGACACGGTCCTAGTCGAATTTTCAGGGGTGCCAGCGCGAGTCGTGGGGCGTGTGAGCTACCCGTAACGCTAGGAGAGGAGGAGCACCGGGTCACACATACCGTGGACTTCGGCATCGTAGATTGTCCATCCAACTACAATGCTATCCTGGGACACCCACTTCTAGCTCTATTCAACGGGGTGGCGTCGTCGTGTAATCGCCTTGTCAAGAGGATGCGGATGTACAATATAGATGTGCGGCTCGAAGATTTACCAAGGGGGAAGCGGCGGATGCTGAGATCCAAGTGCCTCTGGAGGACGGGTGCCCCGAGCGGTGTGTACGCATCTCCGCCCATACGTGCGGCGAGGCGTCCGAGTCGTTAGTGAGATTGTTGAAGGAGTTCGTGGATCTTTTTGCTTTGAGCGCTCGGGAGATGCCAGGAGTAAGCCCGGAAGTGGCGGTGCATCGCTTGTCGGTAGAAAAGGGCGTGCGCCCGGTGCAGCAGAAAAGAAGACCTTTGTCGGAGGAGAAGGAGGAGGCGTTGCGCAAGGAGGTGGGGAAGTTACTCGAGGCCAGATTCGTAGAGGAGGCGAAGTACACGACGTGGTTATCCAACATGGTGCTGGTTCCCACGACGTTGGGCGACTGGAGGATGTGCGTCGATTACACAAGCGTGAATAGGGTGTGTCCAGCTGGTGGATGCAACCGCCTACCACGAGGCGCTGAGCTTCTTGGACATGTTTTCCGGCTACCATCAGATTCTCATGTGTTAGGGGGACCGGGGAAAAACCGCGTTCATGACCCCTTTCGGCAACTTCCGGTATAAGGTCATGTCCTTCGGGCTAAAAAATGCGGGGGCAACCTACCAGCGGATGGTGAACACCGTGTTCCAAGGGCAGATTGGGAGGAACGTGGAGGCATATGTGGATGAACTAGTGGTCAAGAGCAAGAGAATAGTGGATAACCAGGGGTACCTGCGCGAAACTTTTGATACAATGCGCGCCCACACCCTCCGTCTTAACCCACTCAAGTGCGTTTTGGCGCGGCATCTGGCAAGTTTTTGGGCTTCATGATAACAAAGAGGGGGATTGAAGCCAACCCGAAGCAGGTGGAGGCCATTATGCGCCTCGAGCCTCCGAGAACGCCAAAGGAAGTGCAGAGTTTAAACGCGCGCCTGGCGGCACTAGGGCAGTTCATCCCGCGATCCGCCGATGAGGGTGCCCCCTTCTTCAAGGTCCTGAAGAGGGCCGCACGCTTCAAGTGGACAGAGGAGTGCGATGAGGCATTCGAGAAGTTGAAGAGCCTCTTGGTGTCGCCCACTGTTATGACAGCGCCCCGGGCGGGCGAAGTGATGTATCAATACAATGCAGTTTCGCGTACGACGGTTAGTGCAGTTCTCATCTCGAGAGTGGCGGCAGATGGAGAAGAGTGCCCTGTGTATTACGTAAGCAAAGTGATGACGGGTCCCGAGACGTAATACGCGTCCATAGAGAAGGCAGCCTTAGCCGTGGTTGCTGCGGCAGAGAAGCTGCGCCCGTACTTTCAGGCGAACACTGTAGTTGTGCTCACAAACCTTCCATTGAAAAGCACGTTGGGGTCCATGGATGTGGCGGGGCGCATGATAAAGTGGGCAGTGCAGCTGAGCGATCAAGGCGCAGGTATTTATCGATTTCGCAGCGGAAGGTGTGGTAAGCAAGGGAGAAGGAATGAACGAAAGTTGGTAGGTCTATGTTGATGGGGCGGCCAGCCGAGTCGGAGCGGGGGCAGGGATAGTGATCGTCAGTCCCATGGGCGCTATGCATGAGCTGGCACTACGATTCTCGTAGTTAAAAACTAACAACGCGACGGATTACGAGGCTGTGATAGCGGGCTTGAATGCGGCGCGAGAGTTGGGGGCGCGAAGGATTCAGGTACGCTCTGACTTGGCCTTGGTGATAAACCAGCTAAACGGCGTATTCGAGGTAAAGGAGGAGGTGTTGGGCGCACACGTGAGAAGGATTGAGGGGATGCGTTCCTGGTTTGAATAGGTGGAGTTCATGCAGGTCCCACGGGAAGAAAATGCCCATGCGGACGCGCTGTCCAAGTTGGCCACAACTATCGATTTCGAGAAGGAAAGGCATGTGATCGTCTCAAAAGAACACTCCTCGGAGGAGTCACTGGTGGGGGTGATCAGAGAGCAGAGCAGTGAAGAGGAGGGATGGATTACCCCGATTAAGGCATATTTGATCCATGGAACGGTCCCTGAAGATGCAAGGCAGCCATGGCAGGTGAGGCGCAAGGCCGCCCGTTGTACGATTTTAGAGGGCCAGATGTACAAGAGGTCACACTCAGGGGCCTACCTGAAGTGTCTCACAGAGGCAGAGGGAGAAAGAGCGATAGCGGAGGTACACCAAGGCGCCTGCGGCATGCACGCTGGGGCAAGGAGTCTCGAGAAGGTGCTATTGCGTCAAGGTTACTACTGGCCCTCCATCAGAAGAGATACCAAGAAGCATGTAGAAAGCTGTCATCAATGTCAGGTTCATTACGTGCACGTCCCGCAAGCACCTATGCAGGGCAACGTGAGCGCATGGCCATTCTCACAATGGGGGATGGATTTACTAGGTCCCTTCCCTAAGGCGCCCGGTCAGATGAAATACCTTATTGTGGCAGTGGATTACTTCTCAAAGTAGGTGGAGGCAGAACCCTTGGCAACCATCACCCAGGCTCAGGTCAGAAAGTTTACGACCAGGAATATCTTCTCTCGGTTCGGGATGCTTGAAACGATTGTAGCTGACCATGGTAAACAGTTCAAGTGCCGCCAATTCATCGAGTTCTGTGACGAAAGTGGTGTTGTCTTGCGCTTCTCTTCGATGGCCTACCCCCAAGCCAACGGGCAGGCGGAGGCGGCTAACAAGAGCATCTTACATGGACTTCATACGAGGTTGCTAGAAGCCAAGGGGAGATGGGTCGAAGATTGGGCGTGCTTTGGGCGCATAGGAGAACACACAAGGTGGCGACAGGGGAAACTCCATTTGCGTTGACTTATGGCAGCGAGGCGGTCCTCCCGGTGGAAGTACGCTTTCCCATGTATCGGGTGGCAGGATATGAGGAGTCGGCCAATGGGGGAAAGCGCGTACACGACCTCGAAATGCTGGAGGAGCGCAGAGACATTGCCTCCGTCCGCCTCGAGGCCATGAAACAACAAGTGGCCAAGTACTACAATCGTATGATGCGTCCCCATAAGATACGCCTGAGAAGCCTAGTGTTACGACGCGACTTCCGACCAAAGCCGTGTGAGGGAAAGATCGCTCCCAAGTGGAAGGGGCTGTATCGTGTCCGGGAGGTGATAGGGGAGACCACGTTCAAGTTGGATCGGGTTGGAGGGAAGACCATCAACCGAACGTGGAACGCGCAGAACCTCAAAGTGTACCACGGGACGGAGGCATGGGAGATCTCTGAGTGACACGGCTGCAACACAAGGAGGGGCGCCCACATTTTGGCTAGTATTCAAGGGTAAGTTGGTTAGGTGTAAAGGGAATTACTATTACTGCAAGCGCGCCACCCTACGCTTCGCAGAAACATGATCTTAAAGCGCCCTCCTTTTGCGCCATAGGATTAGGACATGTACTATAAAGCGCCCTACTTTTGAGCCTTAATATTATGACAACGTTCGCATTAAAGCGCCCTACTTTCACGGCTTGAAATTGTGTCTGCAGTTATTACAATGCGCCCCCCACTACGCGCCCTCTCGGTCGGTTTGGTAAAGCACCCTTCACTACGCGCCCTAATATGTCCCTTGAGCAACGTTTTATTCGGGCCCGAGTACCAAAACCCAATGCGCCCTCCGTAAAGCGCCCTCCAAGACGCGCCCTTACTATTAAATTGGGTGAATTCAAGTTTCTGCCTAACTCCCGAGGAGAAATATACACCAGTGTGGGGTAATGTAAGCGCCTTATTTACCCGCGTCCTCAACAAGAGACACATAAAGAAGGCAGCGTAAAGTGGTTCGAACATATCAAGATCCCATTAAGTTAAGAGTTCACTAGGTTACAACGTTGGAAAAGGAAAACAACAAGAAAGTAGTAAAACAGACGAGTAAGGAGGGCGCCCGTTTACTCCTCCTCACTCCAAACCGCACCCTCGGACGTCCCCTGTGGTTCGGTGGAGCACCTTTCTTCATCCTCTTGCCCCTCGCCTTCTTCCTCCTCGTTCCCCGCGCCCTCGTCATCCTCAGCTCCCCCAGCTTCCTCACCTTCCGCCTCTTCTACATCAAGCGCCTCATCGATAGCTGGAGGTGGGACGTCCAGCCCCACAATGGGCTCCAGTTCACTAGTTTTGCGGCCGCTGTCCATGAAGTTGAGGATATGCATGATCAGGGCCATGGAGTCCCACTCCACCTCAGGGTGATCCTGGCTGAACTTCTCTTGAAGGATCTTCACCGTGTCAATCACGGTGTCCGCTTGGAGGTTCTTCCCCACCTCCGACTTGTGGTACACAGCAAGATCCTTCTTGAGGCGCTTTGCCCCAGCTTGGGGCGCCTTCAGCTCTTTCTTGTACTGATCCTTGGCCTTAGTCGCCCTCTTCAACTCATCCGAGAACCCGTGCGCCTCCCACGGCGCCGCTCCGCTTCAGCGTGATACTTGTCACGCTCCTCCATCAACTCTGCTTGCCTCTCGCGCAGGCTCTGCTCCACCTCTGCCATCTCCGCCTGGATAGCGGAGGCTTGCGCTTCGTAGCGTTCCTTGCACGCCTTCTCGAAGGACGCCTTTATCTTCTCGCGCTCCGCCTCGATAATTTAGCTGCCCAAGCCTGGGCCCCCTTCTATGCCTCGTCCCAGGCGTTGGCCAGTGCCTCATGCGTCTCACAGGCGATGTCCAACTCACTCTGGAGGCGCTCCGCGGTGCCGTCGTAGGCCAAACTCTCCTTAGCCATCCGATCGAATTCACGCGCGGTGGCTGCGCTTGGGTCCTTGGCCGCCTTGACGGGCACGCCTACAGCAACCTTCTCCAATGGTCGGGAAGGAGGCTGAAAATAGGGGGGCAATGTCTTCCCTGTGTGCTCCCCCACACTCAGCATCACTAAGCTAGCTGGCACATCTAAGGCTATCACGCGGTCCAGCTTGGCCTTTTTTGCGGCCTAAAGGAGCGGTTCTTCGGCAGCCCTTTTCTCCGGCGCCTTGGACTGGGAGGCGCGCGTAGGCATCTGAGAGGTTGCGCTCTGGCTGCGTGGCGAGTGAGAGGCGCCTCGATCTTAGAGGGAGCGAGAGGCTCCCTGGCTCTGTTGAGATTGGGAGGCGCCTTGCTCATTGTCAAGGTGGATGGGGGAGTTGTATGATGGCTGGGGTGGCTCGGTGGCAGCGGGTTAAGGCGCACTATTCGGCGGCACGGCGGCGAAGAAACAATTATCACATTCACAGGCTTTTTGCGTGGAGGCTGTGACGGGGCGACTGGAGCCTTACTAGTCTTGCCGCGTGCGCGAGGTGCAGGGGGATGAGATTGATCTACGAGCGGATGAGGTCGAAGACGAAGGTGAACACAATGCCTGGAAAAAAACAACAATGTTAGCTGGGCGCATAAGGGGATGAAAAGTGCATGAGATTAGGCACATGAAACTACCATCGGCATAGAATTTCGCTAAGTGACGAGCATACTCGTCATTTATTTCAAGGTTCAGGGGCACGGACGCGAGGTGCCACGCCATGTCTTCCTTCGCATTGTTGAGGTCGGGGTGTTTATTGAACTCAGTCTCATCCCTGAATGACCACTGAGTTAGGGGTACGGCGCCGCTCTCGTAGAAGAGCGTGTCGCGCGGGCAGACGAAGAAAAAAGACACGAACCACGAGCGCCCCATTTTCTTACAATGACTAATAAAGTTGTACTCCAGCTTTGGGCGCCTTTGCAGGCTGAAGCAATTGGGGCTTCTAACCACAACGAAAAAATGGCGGAAAATTTTGAAGAAAGGAAGGATGTTGTGTTGACGGCACTTGAGGCGGAAGAGCACCGTATACTGAATGATGACGGGAGAAAGGCGCCCGAGGGAGCACTGACACAAATGGAGCACGCCTTCAAGAATTAGGTCGATGGGGAAGCGGAGCCCAAAGCAGGCGTATTCTTGGTACACGCCGATCCAACCCTCTCCACAGACCCCCACGCGCGCGATGGGAGAGGGGTGCGCGTAAAGCCTGTCTGCAGGCATCTGCACCGCCCTGATTAGTTTGGTGAAGCGGGAGTACAGGATTTTTGACATGTGCGGGGGCTCGACATCTTCCTCGGACATCAGGTCAATGTCAGTGGGCATATACCCAGGCGGCCACATGTTGCCCCATTGGCATATCCCGAATTCTCGAGACGCGTCGGTGCCTACGTTAGAAGAAGAGGAGGAGGTCAAGAAAGGCGATCAAGGGGGATGCTATGGGAAAAAAGGGGGCGCTAAAGTGCGACGTGGGTGGCGCTCATGAACAGCGTAAGATAAGAATGATTTTTGCCTCCATCCTCGTGGAGCACGACGTGTAACCATAAGGTGTGTAAGTAAAAAAGCGGTTCGTAATTTGCCAAGCAAAAACCGGGGAGTACCTAAGGCGGCGGCTGAAACGTCGGAAGGCGCGGCGGGGGCACCGGAAGGCGCGGCTTTGGAAGACCCGGGCTGATTGGTGGAAGCCATGGCGAGAGGTGCGTAGGTGGTGGGAGAGGAAGTCTCACAACAGCGAGAGGCGCCTAGTAGTGATGGCCGAGAGGATGGCCGAAGGTGCGCGCGGGACACTTGAGAGTAGAGTAGAGCAAGTTAGAGAGAGGAAGTAGAGAGATAGTGAGTTTTGGCAGAATGAGGAAGGAAGAAGTAAGGGGGGCAATTTATCGGCCAAAAAAGGGGGGAGAGAGGGCGAAGCGAGGGAGGCGAACAGTCGCCTAGGCTGAATTCGCTTCAGCCTAGGTGGGAGAGATTGGGCCGAAGGTGCGCGCGGGACACTTGAGAGCAGAGTAGAGGAAGTAGAGAGATAGTGAGTTTTGGCAGAATGAGGAAGGAAGAAGTAAGGGGGGCAATTTATAGGCCAAAAAAGGGGGAGAGAGGGCGAAGCGAGGGAGGCAAACAGTCGCCTAGGCTGAGGCGAATTCAAATTTTGAAATTTGAATTCGCTTCAGCCTAGGTGGGAGAGATTGGGCCGATGGGCGAGGCGTAAGCCCAACGGTCCACCCGCAATAAATAGAAAGAAAAAAAAAATTAATGATGGGAAAATAGAAAAGAAAGGAAGAGGGAAATAAATAATGAGAGGAGTGTAGATGCTCATGGGAGGCGCAACGCGCAAGGCAGAGGGGAGGAGAGAGCCGAGCCGCGGACGGGGGTAGTTGGGAAGAAAACGCGCGGCGGGTGAGGAGACTCCTAGCGAAGCGCACACTTCTGGAGAGAGAAATGGAAAAAGGGCACGCATCAGGGCCTGAAGGCGCTTCTCGGGACGCTGGGGGTAGTTAGGCCCCTACCAAATGGTAGGCGCCTAACTAGGGGGTATACAGGAAGCCCAAGGGAGGAGCCCAGAGAGTCAAAGTGGGCCTGAAGTGCGGGCCTAACAAGGGGAAAGCCCAGCACAAAAGGGGCCGGGGCTGTAACCTAGGCAGTGGGACCGGGTGTGACGTAAAGCGCATAACGACAAAGGTGGCAACGGCCAGGAACGTACGGAGGGAACAAGATGAGGGGTCATGCGCCTCGGTGTCGAGAGCCGATGTCAGAATGTCGGGGCGCAGGCAGCGGTAAGGTACAATGCATTTAATGGGATGATGACGCAGGGCGGATTTGGGGGGCAGTGGTCGACCCTACCCTGGGTATAAATAGTGAAGTTGGTGGAGCTCATTTACTCAGGTTAGAACTTCTCTCTAAAGCTACCCTTCACTTCTCTCTCTAAAAAGACTGTTCTAACTTGGGCGTCGGAGTGCTAACGAGCCCCAAGTGAGGGGCTCGGTGGGCGCCTTCGTGTGCAGGAGCGAGGCGCGAGGTAGGGACGAGTCCGGAGAAGGCGGGGGCGTTGGGTTACGTGACATAAACAATTTAAAATTGTAAAACCAAAACCCTTAACCTTTTAATGGTCTGGTTTCAGTTAAAACCGAAAAACCAAACCAATTTGACAGCCCTACGCAGGGAATGCGTTAGGGTGGTAACTAAAAATTTAGTAACCACCGTGGCTGCATCACTATCTGCCGTCCATATTTTTTGTTTTCCTCTTTTTTTAATCTCACAGTTAATTTTGTTTCAGGCCAATTTTGGAAGAAAAAAAAGAGTCAACACCTGATTATTGTATATATTCTACCCAAACCCTAATCTACCATCCACTCCAGCCGAACCCTAGACGACGGCAGCCAACTGCCGGCTACCCGCCCCCTCTCTTTCTCCTCCGCCAACCACCTCCGCTCCCCCCACCTCCTCCACTCCCCTCCGCTCCGCCCACCGGACCTCCTCCTCCTCCCCACAACCGCCGACTCTCCTCTCTCTCTCTCTCTCTCTCTCTCTACCCAACCACCATTCCCTGCCCACCAACCACCACACCGCCCACTCCCCTCCTTCCTTCCCTGCCCACCTCTCTCTTTCTCTCTCTCTCTCTCTCTCTCTCTCTCTCTCTCTCTCTCTCTCTAGGATACGGCTGTGGCTGGAAAAGGTGGGGATGAATAAAAATCCTAGATCTGATTTTTTCGCATCGGTAGTGATTTTTTCGTAGTGGTAGTATTTTTTTCGCATTGCTAGTGATATTTTCGTAGTGGTGGTGTTTTTTCGCATTGGTATTGTTTTTTCCGCATTGGTAGTGATTTTTTTCGTAATGGTAGTGTTTTTTCGCATTGGTATTGTTTTTTACGCATTGGTATTGATTATCATGTAAGTGTATTGTTTTTTAGTGAACGGTAGTTTTTTTCCTGTAGTGGTAGTGTTTTTCACATTAGTATCTTTTTTTTTTTTTGCATTCGTATTGATTTGCATGTATTGATATTGATAAATCTGCAATGGTATTGGAGTTTTGTGAAATGGTAGTGTTTTTATTTCTCGAATGGTATTGGTGTTTTATGTATTGGTAGTGTTCTTTTAATGGATTGGTATTGTTTTATTGTTGCAGCGGTATTAGTTTAGTTGAACGAAAATAAGGAAAATATTGGAAAAAAGTAAGAGAGATCTGGCTAGAGATTGTGAAAGTGAGAGAAAGAGAGAGAATTGTAATTAATATATTTGTGTAACTTCCTAAAATGTACTTTGTTAAAAAAAAGTAATTAATAATTTTTGTCATACCAAATTTGCCCTTAATAACCATGTTGATTACTATTTTATAGTAATCACCGTAACCTATCCCCTACGCAGCACTGAATTCTTGATTAAAACCAAACAACCAGGCAACAGTACAAGTCAAAAAGAAGCTCTAGACACTCGACTCGAGGTTACCTTGCCAGATTATGGAATATGAGTATTGCTATTCTTCATCACAGCAACAGAAGATGAGACAATAAGTTCCTGCAGTCAGAGACACACATGACAAATGTACATTAATTGTCTATATACAGTACTGAAATTCCGCTTTCACTATGACAGTACCTTAACAACCTAAAAATTCAGCAATTTAGCCAAATCATGTTGAAACAATGACCCTTGTCAACATCCTTGCCAGTTCATAATCCTTCAACAGTAGCACGCAGATGTCAACATGCATAAATATAGCTGAGAAATTGCAGGACCAATGCATATATAACGAGAGATTTTAGTGGGGAGCTCAGGTAGATGTTCTGCTTCAGAAGCTCGTACCCGAGTTACAGTGATGCCGCCCTCTCATTCTCTATATTGTATGAAGAAAACTCACCAGCAGTTGCTCTATCAGGTGCAAAGAGATCTGGATGTCAACATCACATCTGGTGATTCACAACACAGCGTGTTAATAACTCACCACTAGACTTAGCTAATAAATCATGCGCCCAGAGGATACTGATCAATGCATTCGGATTAATATGCTCAAACCTCCCTACTGATTACAGGTTTCTTGAAATGGTTATATCCATATATGAGGAGGAACAACAAAATTTACAGGCACTAATAAGTCACTATATGGATTAGAATAT